CAACATAAAATAGGTTTGAAATCTTTACCACACAATAATTATATTTTTTCTGGCACCTGTTGCAATGATCTTAACAAACAGTGCTTGATTAAACTGTGATCCCTGTGAACATGACGCAGTTGTCACCTTTATCTTTCAACTGGGAAAACTTAGGAACAATGAGAGTCAGGGTTGACTATGTGTACCAGGACTGCCATTATACTTTCAAATCAAGTGAAAGAAGTCCTGTGATGAAGGAAATGTTGATAGTTGGATACTAAACAGATAGCAAGTTTTCCAATCATCACAACAGAAGTGCAACATTCCTCCTGCTAATGTGTGGATTGCTGAGAGGTGTGGGAGGAGTTTTTATATGTTGTCATAAAGATTGAACCTCCACAGAAAAGTATCTGCAGAACACTTTTAAACCCTATTTCATTATCTCATCTTACACATTTTTAAGGCTGCTACTGTCTTTCCCAGATGATGTGTCTAAATTGCCACAATTGCTCAGACAACAGAAAATATACATCTTGCATAAGCAAGTAAACCTGCCCAGCACAGCTTGTCCATTGAAAAATGCCTTGTGCTGTCTGCACCACACACTACAGTATTCCTTTTCCTGGGGGCTGTGCCAGGCTATGACTGGAATGCTGGTTCTTAGCAGCACACAGAATATATGCTGCTGTTCAAAATATCCATCTACAACCTGTAGTCATTCATGGCTCAAGTTCTAAGTTCACTGAAACATACTTCCCTAAACTGTACATCATTCTGGTACTGTATCACTCCTCTACAGTCATTCATGGCTCAACTCTACAAGTTCTAAGTTCACTGAAACATACTTCCCTAAACTGTACATCATTCTGGTACTGTATCACTCCTCTATCACAGAGACCTATGCAAGCAGCTGTCAGCCTGGTGGTATTCTTGGAGAGGATGTTTTTAGTAATCGCTAATTCAAATACAATGGATTTGGCTATTCAAATACATAGAGCAGATAGATGTGAAATAATCTCTGAGTTAGTGGCAATGATTAAACTCTCAGAAAAGGGAGACGGTAAGTGCAATGAGAAGGTAAGTGCAATTCTGACATTTAAATCTACAGCAGGATGGGGGACCAATTATAGCAAGAGCAAGGAATGTTCTCAGAGATGGAGAGTCTGCGATGTGACTTGTTTCCTCATCTGGGCCTTCCAAATTAAACACCAATGCATTTCCAAGCCTAGGCTATAAAGACTTTCATTTGGTGGCTAGGAAACTTTGTATAGAAAATAGCCAAGTCAAAGCTGAGCCAGCTTTATAGAAGAGAAATATAATCCATAAGAGAAAATGACAATGACAAGCTAGGTTGGTCAGATGGGGACAAAAGTGTAGGCACTTTCTGAACTATCCTGAAAGTCATTACCATTAGTCTTAGCTCATTAAGCTTCAAATAGTTACCATTACTCTTGCCACTGTCTGCAAACAAGTTCAAATGACTGTGTAGATAATAAGATGGTGAAAAATCAAAGGACCCTGTAATTCATTGTCAGGGTAGTGGCTGTCCAGAATATCAGAACAGGTGAACAAAAAGCACACTCAAAGAATGTGATTTTCGGAGTAAACCTGAAAGTTTCAGGGTAAACCCCATTAGCCTAATTTTCAGGTGAGGAAATTGTAATTAAAGGGAAAAAAAAAAAACAAACCAGATTCATTTTCATCATGTTTAATTTCTAGCAAAGTGCTCTTACCTGTTCCTTACTGCTAAGGTACACTTTTTACAAAATAAAGCAGCTTGTAACAGAGGTGCTATTTTGAATTGAACCTCCATAGTACAGGAGTGCATTTCTCTGTATGGACCATATAATTTGTCTTTTATATTTGTCCTATCAGATATAAAATAACTTAGCACGCTGGCTTATAATAACTGTAAACAACCAAAGGATATTTTTATTTTTGTCTATGAAAACCTTTAATAAAGTTACTTCTATATCCAGAAATCATAAATACAGAAGATCTATATTCTGGTTCCCTTTTAAATCACTCTTTCTCCCAAGGTAGTTAGGATTTTTTTTCTGTCTGGGTCCATGAGTTACCAATGAAGTTTGCTTCCCCTCATCTCCTTACTCTTCTGACAAACACGTTTGTAGTTTTGGTTTCAAGGTTTTGGATAGAAGTTTAACCTGATTGAGTCAATGGTGATTTTTTCCTAGCAATTTCAGTCAAAGAATAATTTCAGCCAGTGCCATTCCTACACTCCCCAATTCTGATACCACATTATTAGACACTTCATGGCCTGGCTATGCTGGACACTGAACCATGAGGAATCAGCTGCTTTTACAGGCATGACCTCAGATTTGCTGCTTAAGTTTTCAACATGCTTTGCGATCTTTATTCTGAGGAAAGCCTAGGAATCAAGTACCAAATGCAGACACTACTAGTGCATTTCAGGAAAGAAGACACAATTTCAACACAGCAATATATTTTAATCTGTATGAAATCCATTTGTAGAAGGTCAGCTATGCAATGTAGCACATGTAGAAATAGGCGCAATTTCCATGTTCCTATAAAGTATCTGATTTTTTTCACAAAGCAGCTATTCAGCCAAATTAAATACACACAGATCTCAGAGCTATCATTGCCTGATGCTGCAGTTCTGGATCAAAGCCCTCTCTTGGCTACATCCAAACCCTTTTCCCAGTTCTATCTTTTTTTGCTGTCTGATAATCTTGTTGCCAGACTGCTAGTTGAAGATAACTTCATAGTGTTAGTGTTAACAGTTTTGGTGTGTCTCATTCCAAGTTCCAGCTTGGAATTCAAAGGTAGATGGTGAAAACAAACTCTTTCCCTATGGAGCTGGTTAAGTTTATCATTGGCCTTTTCCAGTTGCAAGGAAAGCAGCATATTTGATTGCAAGTGAAGATTTCAGAGCAACAGGCAGTGTAACCAATGGAAACACCAACCTGCAGCAGAAGGCCAAAATCCTTACACTAGCCCTTGGCTATAGTATTGGTACATACGTTTTCCACTATGGTAAACAGATTTTTATTAGACACATTAGGTAACACACAGCATGTATTAGTAATGCAGAAAACAGACACCACAAAAGTGCTTTAATTATAACTTCAGGGGAAAAAAAAATAAAACTTGTTACAAAAGAATGTAATACTAGAGCACTGGGACTAGTTTGCTCTCTTTGTACATGTACATGGAATAATGCAGGAGCTCTAGCAAGCACAAACCTGGTATGTGCCAAACTGTGTTTTTTGGAGTTGAATTAAGGATGTTTTCACAGTCCAAGTTTCCAGTCCAGCTCATTATCGATGACCTTCTATCTTTTTTTCATGGTTCTGAGGATGGTGTTTTCATGGTTTTCTTGCTTTCCTCTTAGATGACAGATTTCCATCTGCAGTCAAGTTGTAACACTGGATCTAGCTCACAAGCAAGGTAAGCCTATTTATGCTCCACTTTCAGTGCACAGTGAAGGGTCATAGATCTTAATTCATACAGCTTTGTTTACTCCAACAGTGACAAATTCAAATGTACAGTAAAAGATGAATGCAAATAGAGAAGCTGAGCTAGTGCTCATTCATTTTGGGGAAAAGCCAGTTATTAAAGCTAAGGAGGAGAAACAGTCAGCTTTCTAGAAGTGGGTTCAATGGGTTGGCACTTGGGAGATCAACTCTGTTGCCCTAAGTGCTATATGCTGCCCATTACAGGCATAAAACACCTCATTTTGAGACTTTGAGACCAGATTGACTCATATAGTGCTTCAAATTAGTAATATACAATTTACAGCACAGCAGTGTGAACTTTAAAAAAAAATATTAAGTTCCTCCTCATTTCTGATTGGGTCCCTTTGCTATTTTAGCTCTCCAAGCTGTCTGTAATTCCTGCTAGGCCAACTTTAAGAAAAGGAATTGTGATTTAATCTCACTATGTGGAATGTCAGAGATACTGAGAGTGGTTTGCTCAACTCATTTGAAGGGCACCTCAGATAGGGAGAAGGTTTTATGAAAAAAAGTTGTGTAGGCTAGATATAAAAAAAGGAGCAATGGAAGGAGCACTGGATATCATGCTGTAAGTTGAAGCACTTCTTCTGGATAACCAGCAGAACAAAAAAAGCATTTATTTCTTGTTTTTATTGGAAAAAAAGAAAGTATTAAGAGTATACAGCTGAGTGAAGCACAGTCAGGTGGTAAAACATCTTTATCAGATGAAGTCTACTGTACCAAGATTCTTCAGTATTGTGAGAGAACAAGAGAAGTTGTTGAACTGCCTCCCTCCTCCCAGAGGGGACAACCCTTTTTTTCATCTGATCAGGAGAATGAAACATTAACTTCACTGCTCCCACTGCTGTAGTCTCTGTGACTATGGGGCTGCAGCATTGACAGTCAGTTGATACTGGCCACCCCCAACACTTAAGGAAATGCTTCTCAGTGCAGGCAAGAAGATGAGAAGAAAAAAGCATGCTGGTGCCCAGCAAAGCTGACAGCATGCACTGCCAGAGTATCTCTGCTCCTACACAATTTTCTTGCTCTCCAGATTACTTAGAGAGGACACCTAGTATAAACACAATCACCTCCCTGTCTTCTTCCTTCTCAAAATCTGTGATATGCCCCAGAGAATCCTTTACCCCACTTTTCTCCAAAAACCTTTGATACTGTTTTGCCTCTGAGCCAAGACTGTGTGTTTGTGATTCCTGGATCTCCTCTGGGCACTAGAGCCTTCTCTGGTCCTTTCCACTCCCAGTGTTTGAAGAGTTAACTGTCTCAACAATAGGATCCCAACAGCAGGCATACTTGGAGAAGCTGGTGCCAGAAGGCCACGCTCTCTAATTGTGGATGCAGGAATACTGAATTACCTTATGATCTTTAAAACCTGCCTCAGCATCAGCTTCCCAGGGAGGCTATCCATTTTAAAACACAAAAGAACATTCATTTTTAATCCTTTTCCTTGAGTATGAAAATATTGTTTATTGTTTTCTTACGCCTAAGAAAGTTGAAAGGAAATGAGGAGCCAGTAAATCCTGAAACCAGGGACTTATTTCAAAACTGCTGGTTTCCCGGATTCTTTCATGCAAATTTTTATCACTAGGTAGCACAACTCAGCCAGATTCAACATCATGCAGATCCCAGATACAGCAAGCATGAAAATAGTAAATGTGGTTTTCTCAGTGGGCCGAGACACGAAACAATCCACAGTGTTGGGGCAGGGCCAAGCGTCACACTTCACCAGGCGGGGCATCTGGTAGCCATCGTACATGTAATAGAACACGTACATGAAGACGGCCTCAAAGATGATCCTGAAGAAGATGCTGCTGGTGTATGTCCACCACAAGGGGCCCCGAATGTGAATCCTTTGATTTTTCAGCTCTTCAATATCAATTTTCTCACCATTTCTGAACCGCCTTTTCTTCTCGTGCCTGGTGTAAGCCACGTGCATGGCCACCAGCAGCGCAGGTGTGGAGACAAAGATCAGCTGCAGGGCCCAGAGTCTGATGTGAGAGATGGGGAAAAAGTGATCATAGCAAACATTCCTGCAGCCAGGCTGAAGCGTGTTGCAGACAAAATCTTGTTGTTCATCTCCCCAGACTCTCTCTGCAGCCACAACCAGGATCATGATACGGAAGATGAAGAGGACTGTGAGCCATATCTTCCCGATACTGGTGGAGTGCTTATTTACACCTCCCAAAACACTCTGCAGAGTGCCCCAGTCCATCTTCTCTTCTGTGTCCTTTTACCTGCAGGAAGACACAATACACAGAAGGGTCACTTTTCAAACTGTGAAAAATCAACTCTAAACCTGTAAAAAAAGAAAACTTCCTAACAGTCTCTCCAGAGCCATAGGCAAGTGTAAATCAGTTTCATTTATGTCAGCCATATGTTTGTGGATTCAAACAACTTATTAAACTCTCCATCAGTTTATGATGGGACAAGCATACCTCAGTGTATTACTCAACAAGTCTTTGGGCAAGAAATAAGTACATCTTAATACAGTTCCTCTGTACATCCTCTATGTTCTCCTTCCCTTTCTGTGGTGGACTCTGGTCAGCATTTTGCCTTTCCGTATACTTCCTAAAGCAATAGAAATTACTGTCATTGCATGAGTTAAGCAACATCTAGACAAACTAGAGTCTTCTCTAGCATTTTCTACAGTATTTCTTTACCAACACTATAGCCCTAGAAGGCTGAGGTGCTTTCTTTGTCCCAGAGGTAAGTACTACTTGGCCTTTTTCAGCAGAAGTCCTTGCTCCACACAGACACGTCCAGCAGGCCTCCAAGGCTTTCTGTCACAGTTCAGACAAGGCCCTTAATCTCAAAAGTACAACGTTTGAATTTGCCAACACTGGTGAGAAGCCTCAAGCCAGCTCTGTCAGGGCTGCATGCTCATATAGCACAAACCAGCAGGGAAAGGCAGATAGAGCAGAGCCTGCCCTTCCACATTCATTGCTATGTCATCCAAAAAAGGAGGCAAGCAGAGTCACAGAGTTAAGAAGAAAAAGCCCTCAGCTGAAGAGTTTATGTTGATTTTCTAGGTGCTATCACACTCCAGCAGAATACAGAAAGTCAAACATCAGAGCAGTTCCATTTCAGCTTTCCTACTAGTCTTAAAAACTAAAATCCACTCTTTGCCCTTTTGAAAGTAAGTTTTGCTGAAGTTCAGACTTCAGTCTCAGGGCTCAGCTTTCACTGATTGCAGCCATTTGGAAACTATCATGAATTGGAGAAAACACTTTGAAACCCGACCTGGGAACCTGCATAGCTGGTCCATCATGTCAAGGCTAGACTGAGAGAGCCACACAGGCCATGGATAACAGCTCCATCTCCTCTCGGTGCTGGCTGTGTGCTGTGGGAAGAGCATGGTACCTTGCAACACAACACAGGCCCAAAGTTTACAAAAATCTCTCATTCTCACACAGCAGAGAGGGGAAAAATGTAAGAACTTTTTACCCTGGTGTAGTTACATCCCAACCAAAGGACAAAACGTGCCCCAACACATACCCTTGGTACGAGGACCTAGCTTGTACAGACAAGTCTGGAGGCAAGAGGGAGAGGTCAGATTTACTGTGATGCGGAAAGGTAAAATTGGGTAAGGCAAAAAAGAAAACAACTTTGACAACATGACTGGAATTCCTGAGACTTCTCATGCTTTGTCTCTGCTGAAACTGGCACCATTTAATGCAATATTTTACACTGACTTAACCTGCAGGTTATGATGAGATAGCGGCATCATTCCGGTAAGAATTCCCTCATATCTGACTGTGCAGTCATTAAAATTGAGTCAATAAAATCTTCACAAGAAGCTAATCAGTACTGAAGAAAAGTCTGGGAAGTGCATATCGCCGAGCTGAACAGCCTGGGTTCCAAGTGCATCTCACACTGCAGTTCTGAACCAAGGCTGCAAGTTTTGGGGGAAGCAAAAAACTTTTCTCCCTCTCATCTGCCACTACCGAAACACTGCAATTGGCTGTTAGTGAGCCAATTTACCCGGATCCCCAACTTGCCAACCAAGACACGGTTATTGAGTACCACTCCAAATCCCCACTCTGGGTTAGTAGCTAGATGAATCCTAGCCCTTCCCTCCGTCCTCGCCGACCTTTATCCCGCCGACTTCCCGCGCGGCAGCGAGCCTTCAGCGGAGGGCAGCGGCAGGATTGCCGCGGCACCCTCGGCAAACACCGGCTTTGGCTCGGCGGTCCGACGGCTCCTCCCGGCACGGGCTGCGCGGTCCGAACGGGCCGGCCAGCCGCAGTCACCGCCCCGCCGCTGCCGGGGCTGCGGGCTGGCAGCCCCCGCCCAAGCACGGCTTGCCCGGGCTCAGGGCTGCGGCGTGGCCGCCCCAGACCCGCCGGGACGGCCCCGACCCGAGCCCCGCTCTAGCACACGGATCGCCACCCGCTCGGAGGGGCGCACAGCCCAATCCCAACCTCGGTCCCGATCCCACCGGTGCGGCACGCGGTAGCTGCTCCGGACCCTCTCCCGGCACGGCTGGGCAGGACACAAGGAATCGCTCCGGACCCTCACCTGGCACAGCTGGGCAGGACACAAGGAATCCGCTCTGGACCCTCCTCTGGCACGGCTGGGCAGGACACACGGGACGCGACAGGCGCTCCGCGCTGCTCGAAGGTCCGCTGGCGCCTGCGGAGCGGGCGGCCCCAGCCTCTCCGGCCCCGAGCTTTAAGGTCCCTCCCCGTTCACCTGCCGCCGCTTTTAACCCGCCCCCGCCCGCCCCCGCCCGCGCCCCGCTCCTCCGGCCGCCCGCGGAGGCGGCGGTGGGAACCCGGGGCGGGGCCGGGCCGAGGTCTGAGCCGCAGCCGGAGGTGCTGGGCTCCGCCGTGCCCGCGGGGCGGGAGCTGCTGCCGGCCGAGCGGGACTGGGGACGGTGCTCCCGCGGGAGCGCCCTGGGGTTCGCCTGGGGTGTCCAGGAGCAGAGAGCGCGCATCGGGCGGAGCGGACCCGGTACCCTGCAAATACGGCCCGGCAGCGGGATTGATTCCCAAGTGTTGGCAGAAAACGCGTCCCGGAGGGAAATCAGCCCCGCGGGACGCTCCGAAACTGCCCCTGAGCCGTGGCAGCCGGAGGAAATCGCCACCTTGCAAAAGCTGGGACAGTGTTCCGATAAAACGCAGCTCCCATAGATTTTCTCTGGGGTGAGGCAGGGCTACAGAGAGAAACCTCAGAGACCTTCTTAGAAGGCAAGGAAGTAGGTAAAGTAGAAGTGTATTGTCTTCTTGTTTGGAAGACAAGGAGTAGGTGAGCTAGCTAATGAATTGATAAGTAAAAATTCTTCTGGGTAGCCAGATGTAGGGATAACAAGGGCATCAGGCAGCTAAAGGCAGGATAGAAGTAACATGCTTGGTTTTCCTTTGAAAAGGAATTCCTCTCTAGGGTGCACAACCTTGATTTCAGTGCTACTGCGTGAAGGGAATGAGGATTAAAGTTGGTTTTGCGAGAGAAAGTAATCTAGCAGGAAGTATAAAGAGTGACTCAAATCAGAGTTACTTGCCATGTGAAGATCTGTCACTAGATGTTTGTCTGGTGATTGAGCTCTGTTGTTCACAATTTAAAAAAAAAATAAAAAAAAGTTTCTTGTTATTATAGTACTGTTCAAGCCCCATCTTTAAGGAAAGGTTTTGTGGACAAAGTCCAAGCCAGCCAGGCATGAATTACTTGTATCAGCACTAGAAGCACTTACCTTGGGCTTTGCTTGTAACGTATAAAGTATACCCAGTGTTGCTGTCAGGCTCAGGTTAGCCTCACACTGTCTGCACTTCACCCAAAGCATCCAACCAAGCAAGACTGCTACTAAATGATGCTTGATTATAACTTAGTAAAGAGTCTTGGCTTTTCAAAACACTGAACAAAAATTCCTACCAGAAATGAATGCTGTGTTGAAAAGCATGTGTAGGAAAAATAATAAAAATTAGTCTGAGTATATAAAGTACTGCTGAAAATGCTGTGTTTGTTACTGTATATTGAAGTAAAGCTCTGTATATTGCACCTAGTACTGGGCCTGGTTTTGTGAAGTGTCTGGGAGTAGAAATGCTTTCATCAGTAGGGACTTAAATAATATTTAAATTTGATACAGTAATTTGTATAGATAACAACTACTAGAAACTTGAATTTGTGTCTGTATCTGCAAAACTAAAAATTACTTTGGCTTTGCTCTCAGAGGTTTAGAAGGTTAAGTTGGACTTCATAGAATATTCTGAGTTGGAAGGGACCCACAAGGAACATTGAGTCCAACTCCTGGCCCTGCACAGGACACCCAGGAGTAACACCATGTTACATTGTCCAAACACTTCTTGTGAGAGAACATTGTCCAAATACTTCTTGAAGTCTGTCAGACTTGATGCTGTAACCACTTCTCTGGGGAACCTGTTCCAGTATCCAGCTACCCTCTGGGTGAAAAACCTTTGCTAATATCCAACCTAGACCTCCCCTGATACAATTCAAGGCTGTTACCTTGGGTCCTGTCACTGGTCATCAAAGGGGAGAGGTCAATGTCTGTTCTTCCTCCTCCTCCCCTCATGAGGAAGCTGCAGACTGCAATGAGGTCTTTCCTCAGTCTCCTCCAGGCTGAATGCACCAAGTGACACCAGCTGCTCCTCATATGTTTTCCTCTCAAGGCCCTTCTCCACCTTGTTGCTCTCCTTTGGACACTCTCCCACAGTTTAATGTCTTTTTTATATGGTGGCACTCAGAACTGCCCCAGCACTGCAGGTGAGGCTGCCCCAGAGCAGAGCAGAGCAGGACAATCCCCTCCCTTGCCCAGCTGGCCGTGCTGTGCCTGATGCCCCCAGGACAGGGTTGGCCCTCCTGGCTGCCAGGGCACTGCTGGCTCATGTTCAGCTTGTCATTGACCAGGACCCCCAGGTCCCTTTGTGTGGCACTGCTCTCCAGCTTCTCATTTCCCAGTCTCTCTGTACATCCAGGGTTGCCCCATCCCAGGTGCAGAATCCAGCACTTTCCCTTTTTGAACTTCATCTGCTTGGTGATTGCCCAGCCCTGTCATTTGTCCAGGTCACTCTGCACAGCCTCTCTGCCCTCAGGCAAGTAGATAGCTCCTCCCAATTTAGTATCATTGGTGAACTTAGTGTATCTTTGAGTCCTGCATCCAAGTCATTTATGAAGATGTTGAAGAGCAGAGGGCAGAGGATGGAGCCCTGTGGAACCCCAGTAGTGACAGGTCACCAGTCTGATGTCACCCCATTCACTGGAACCCTTTGTGCCCAACCCATGAGCCAGTTGCTTACCATGTTTACATGACACGTTTATCCAGCTGTATGCTGGATATTTTGTTCAGAAGAGCACTGTGAGAGTATTAAAAGCTTCACTGAAATCTAAGACCTTTAAATAATCTAAAAAGAAAGATCTCGAATAGTTAACTATGTTTTATGAAATGATACCAAAGTTTGATACATAGTAATTGTAAATGCTTGGAAGAAATTCACAGCTCGTGTTGCTCAGTACTGCCATAGTGTTTTTCATTTACAATCAAATAAATTCTATGTTAAAGCTGAGTGCTACTCTCAGTTTACTTGATTTTTGTTTGCTTGCTCACGTATGTCATGCTTTATTTGGGAAGGAGAGGGAAATCCTAGCCAGGGATTCTGGCAGAGCATAAATCCAGGGTTACAGGCTTGTTGCATACACTTTTCTTAACACCTGTCTCATTGGCAGGAGGTGCAAGAGACAAGTTTTAACAACTCTGGAATTTTTAAAGGTTCATCTGTAAGCAAGAGAGAATTAAAGCTGGTGAATGCTATTAAGTGTTCTTTTATATACAAAATGTTGTTTCTTGTGGGTCATAAAGTAATGCGGAAATAAAAGCTTTATAAAAATAGGAAAATAAATACTGTTGTAACTTCCTCGACTCACAAACAGCTTTTAGCTTATCTCAGGATAGCAGAAATCTTGGCATCATCTCCCAGTAATGCCCTATGGCTTTCTAAATACTGTGTCTTCATCTCTGCATTCAACAGCCCCAGGCACCTCCAGAGGCTCTGTCTGGATCTATAATTTTAATATTCTTAATAGCACTTGTTTCACTCTCTGCTTTGCCTAACTATGTTTTGATGTCACCTCTATATGGCTTATATAAATATTTAATATTTATACTATATATATATATATATATACATATATATATAAATCCACATGATCCTGGAGTAATTAACTCAGTAGCTTAATTATGTGTGGTGAAAGAGAAAAAACTTTCATTTCCTGAAAACTTGCACTTATATAATTTCATGGGACATTCCTGAGTCCTCATTGGGAGTAATAGCTAATTATCTTTTCCTGTTCATCTCCTTTAAGAGTGCATAAACTTCTGTCATATCCTCTCTCTATCCTTTTTATTCTGTGCTGAAAGGCCTAATTTTTTGAAGCTCCATGCAGGAGCTGTTATATATCTTCATGATTCTCATCACAACTTGTGATGTGTGTCATTTTTACAAGAGCAGTCCAAGTACCTGTGCAGTTGGTAAGTTCACAGAGCAATGCTTCCTATGGCTTTTGCCATCATTTTCTGGTAATTCCTGCTTACTTGTTTTCATTTTTCAGACACATTATAGCAATATGTTGATTTTTTCATCGTCAGGCCAAGATTCTTTCCCAAGCATTGTTAGAAATTAGAACAGTACCTCTTGGGGTACACATACACCCATACACTTGAATAGGTGTATTTTGAACTAATTTTCACACTGTGTATTAGTGTGCATCAGCAGATGCCCAGGTTCACTTGCAATTTTATTGTGTTGTTACACTGGATAAGATCTGCTTCTCATCTGTTCCTCATGGTCAGGTTTAGTTGTGACTACCACAAAGCATCACTTTTACAATTCACAAAGATTTTGATTTTTGCTGATTCATAAGTGTAGCAACTTCCTTATTCACTGCTTTTGCTTCAAATGGGGCTCTTTCAACACTTAGCAGCTTACTCACTACTTGTCATGCACAACCGTCATTTATCAACTGGAAATGCAGCTAGAGACTCAGACCACACTTTGGAAATAGTTTTCATTTCTTTGAGGCTGGATTAAACATGTCACACCTGGCGTTTTTGCACTAACATCAGCAATAAAAGCACCTTCAACTCAGCATGTGTAACCAGTTTGCTCTGCTGTTCAAACACTCACTTTAGTCATTATATGACCAAAAATACCGTACTTGCTTAGCCCTTGAGCAAATAATTTTGTCTCCTTCCATATCTTTACATGTATATTAGTGTCTGAAATACATAGCCAGTCATTTTTATAACATGCACTTTAATTGCCCTCCCAGCCTTTTAAAAAATAAGCCTTTTATTTTATAGAAAAGTGCCTGAAGTGCTGTTGGCAAGGTCTGGCTAATACAACTACATGGTTGTAGGAGCTCAAATCCATAAAGCTGTAGCTTCCATGCCTATTACACATCATTAAAGTCTTAAAGTTTACAGAGCTCTGCCTCGTGCCTCCCCACACAGAATTAATGGGCTCATGTGTCGTTTTCAGGGAACATTTTATTTACAAAGAACAAACTTTCATTGTTTGACATAAATAATTCATTACTTTGTCATCTTTCAACTTTTTTTACAAAGAAAATGTTAATGTGATAAAAATACTGCTGTGGTTTGTGCTCCAGGAGAAGGATCAGGGATCGAGAGGCTGCTCTGTGT